GGCACTATGGAGGACGGAGGTGTCGTCGAGGCCTCCATCCAAGGAGCGCGAAAGCAAGAACCGTGGCCGTTGAAGCTTGGCTAGATACATGAAGGGGGTGGGTGGTGAAGGAACTGCCAGAGGCTTGTATCTCTTCATTTTCAATCTAGGTGCTTGAACGTCAGTTGTTCAGTAACCAGAGGCAGGACGTGGTCACACCATAACAAGAGGGGTAGTGCCAAACGTTTTATGTCCCTTCATTTTGACTCGAGCGGCTTGAGCGTCAGTTGTGCGGTAGGCAGAGGCAGGACGTGATGACTTCATAACAAGAGCGGTAGTGCCAATAGCTTTTGCCCCTTCATTTTCACTCTACGTGCTTGACCGCCAGTTGTCAGGTAGGCAGGACGTGATCCCTTCATAACAAGAGGTATAGCGTGCCAAACACTTGCGTCCATTTTTTTCATTCGAGCGGCTTGAGCATCGGTTGGTTGTGCTGTAGACAGAGGCAGGGCGTGATCACTTCATAACAAGAGGGGTAGTGCCAAACGAATGACCCTTCATTTCCACTCGAGGGGCTTGAGTTCAAGTTGTGTGTAAGACAGAGGCAGGACGTGATGACTGCATACCAAGAGGGGTAGCGCCAAACACGTCCGTCCCTTCATTTTCATTCGAGGGGCTTGAGCGTTCAGTTGTACTGCAGACAGAGGCAGGACGTGGTCACTTCATATCAAGAGCGTTGTGTTCCTTCGTTTTCACTCTAGGGGCTTGAGCGTCAAGTTGTACGGTAGACAGAGGCAGGACGTGGTCCCTTCGAAACATGAGCGGTAGTGCCAATCGCTTGTGCCCCTTCATTTTCAATCTACGTGCTTGCACGGTAGGCCGTTCAAAACAACGATGGGTAACGTGCCAAACACTTGTGTCCCTTCATTTTCACTCGAGGGGCTTGAGTGTCAGTTGGGTAGACGGAGGCAGGACGTGGACACTTCATAACAAGACGGGTAGTGGGCCAAACGCTTGTGTCCCTCCATTTTCACTCGAGCGGCTTGAGCGTCAGTTGTGCGGTAGGCAGAGGAAGGACGTGGTCACTTCACAACAAGAGCGGTAGCGCCAAACGCTTGTGTCCCTCCATATTCACTCGAGCGGGTGGAGCATCAGTTGTGTGGTAGACAGAGGCAGGACGTGATGACTTCATAACAAGAGCGGTAGTGTGTCCCTTCATTTTCACTCGAGCGGCTTGAGTGTCAGTTGTGTGGTAGACAGAGGCAGGACGTGATCCCTTCATAACAAGAGGGGTAGCGTGCCAAACGCTGGTGTCCCTTCATTTTCCCTCGAGTGGCTTGAACGTCAGTTGTGTGGTAGACAGAGGCAGGACGTGGTCACTTCATAACAAGAGGGGTATTGCCAAACGAATGACCCTCCATTTTCCCTCGAGCGGCTTGAGCGTCAGTTGCGCGGTAGACAGAGGCAAGACGTGATCCATTCATAACAAGGGCGGTAGTGGCAAACGCCTGCGTCCTTCATTATCACTCGAGGGGTTTGAACGCCGGTTGTACGGTAGACCGCCCTCCCGCACCCAATTACTGAAGATGACACCAAATGTCTACGGGCGCGCGCGAACAGGAGAATGAAGGTTGTGGCCTCATGGACGTCGACGGAGGGCAAGAGGAGGCCTAGGAATCCACTGGCGGGGCAGAGAGGGAGAGTGGACAAGAGTCTTTGTCCGACCCGTTCGACAGCGAAGGTTGGTGCAGGCACTACAGCACATCGCTGGGTGCTGCCGACAACTTAGTCGTGCTTGACAGAGGATTGTCGTTATTCTCCAACGCGGCGGCCGCGATGGTAGGTACCCAAATTATGAGATGGCGTTTGAACATCTGGATCGTGTCGTCAAAGGGACGTCAGGCACAAAATGAAGAGTGGGTGGACGGGTAGGCACGGATGTCAACAGAAAACCCTGAAGATTAGATCACCACGGTCGGTTGTAAGCTGAAGGGTTTCACCGTACATATCATCATGTCTCGCGATGGCTCATGCTGCCGCTCATCTTTCTCTGCATGCGGGTCGCGCGCAAGCATGACGCGGTTCCATTTTTCCGCGCAGATCAAAAAGGCGATGAAAGGCAAGCCACGATCCGATCAACCTCGAGAAAGGCTTCACGTTCCCTGAGGAAGGCGATGGAGGTGCAACATGGAACTCGGTTCTGAGCCAAATCGAGAGAGAGCTTCATCGCCAAGGTTTCGAGGGGAAAACCACGGCGGTCAGAGGGGAAAAGGTGTGTGAGCATATTGTTCATCACGCTAGAGTATGTAGTAAGGCAAAAGGACACCGGGCTCCGCAGCTTTTAGAGGGAAGGTAAACGCGTCCAATCGAACAGATCGCAGGTGCAACGTCTCGGTGTGGACGGGTCGAGATACGGTATTCCGCCCACCGACAGCCGAGGAAGAACAGGAACGCCGAAGTCAGGACGTCATGGACAAAGAAGGTGCGACCCACGCATGCTCCCCTTTACTTCTTGTGTTAAAATATACCCGAAACTCCTTTGGTATCTCCGGGATGACACCGCAAGACATTGGATATGCCTTGGAGTTTACGCGCATGGCCTTGTTCGGGTGTTACTACTCCCCTACTGATCTCCACCCCAATGGTCTCATGTTCGTATTTCTCGTCTTTTTCGTTCCAGGTCGGCTGCGAGTTCCCAGTTGTCGTTACCTGGAACACGACGGATCCCGCGACGATCCAAACGGTAACGGCATCGAATAAGCTCCAACCGCGTTACAAAAGTCGGTTATGGTGCTAACACATTCGCGTCCATTGCTTGGAGTAGCCTTTCCTCGGAGTAGGTGCCACACAAGAGGTGAAGTACAGACTCAACGCGATCATCCGGAGTTGGTGGCGCATTTCCGGGTAGGAAATGATAGCAAGAATATAGATTCTTCCCACCACCATCGAGGTGCAGTGTTTTCAAAAACAAGCAGAGCGTGCAAACGAAAATCTACTAAATGCGTTTTGTGACCTCAACCTCCTGGTGTCTGTTCAGGTCCACCTTGAACACCACGCTGACTGTGAGATGCAATAAGTTGCGAAGCAGCTCAAGGATGACAACGTGATACCGTTTGAAAAAATGGAAATGGGCGGATGACATTGAAACGGCAGATATTGAAACGGCAGACAATCTCCACTTATCACAAGAATCCTTCGCTGCGTCAATGTTCAGTTGAAGTCCCTCAGGGGTATCAGCCATCCCAACAAATCATCCGCAAACAGCACTCCCGCCACCGAAGTTCCCCTACCTGTACTCCTTCCCCAACTGCCTCTACGACCTTCAATAGATCGTTGATGAACGCCTGGAACAATGTTGGGGACAAAGTGCAACCTTGTGTGACCCCCTGTCCAATGTTACAAACTTTAGACACTTCTCCGTCTATGTAGCATGACTGAGTTTTTCGTACACTCTGTCATCTTCTTCAGCACTCTCCACAATTTCCACTTTATCCAGTTGTTTCCACAGCCGATTTCTCCTTACTGTATCGTGTGCCTGTCGCACGTCCAAGAAGAAGCAGTATATTTGGTTCCCCAGCCCTCTTTCTCCCTTGGATGACTCTCCGAGGGAGAAAGACACACCCAAATCAAGGTAGAATAATTGCTTGTTTGTTCCTGTACATCGCAGTCAAAAGCGCAAGATGCAAAGCTCAACAGGAAACCTTGAAGCTCTCAATGAGTGACATTAATTTGTTAGCCCATTGATCGTGATCATGATCGGGTCACAGTTATGTCCCGATCATGACCCGATCATGGTAATAATTTCGGTTATGACCCGGTCATGACTCGGTCATGATCCTGACTAGGCTCTCAGTGACCGGATCATGACCGGATCATGACCGAGTCATGACCGGGCCATGACTTCGTTTGTTGTTTCTCACTTTCGCAGGAATTTTCGCCCTGACTGCTGGGTCATTACCCGATCATGATCTAGCCATGGCCGAGTCGTGATTGTGTCATTGTGTCATGACTGGGTCACGGTAAATGCACCATGACCGAGACATGATCTTGTCATCACCCAGCCGGTCTGTCTAAGGATATATTGCATCAACGCCAGCCCTCTAGCGGCACCCCCACCTAGAACTTATCCACGCAGCGTCACCCTACCACCTATCGTGTGGGTTCGGGGTTAGGATTGGGGTTGATGCAAGCGTTTCAAGCCGGTTTCATGCCCCTGCCAAACCACATAATCTGTTGTTAAGGAGAACCAGAATTGCATTAGTCATGACCGAGTCATGAACTGGCCATGACTCGGTCATGGCTTAGCCATGACCAGGTCGTGACCGAAACATGACCGAGGCATAACTTCGGTCATGATCGAGATCATGACTCCATCTCGAAGACTTGGTCATTACCCGATCATGACCAAGAACATGTTGTTGTTGTTGTTGTCTTCACATTAAAAACCGTTCCGATCTCTCTCTACCCAGTACCTTCGTATGTCCGTACTGATCCAACACTCGACGCGGTCGATTCCCGTGGTCACAGGCTGTTAACTAACCCTAAAAAGTTACACTCAAATAAACTGGCCCCGAGGGGTCCGCAAGTCAATAGAAATCAACGACAGATATTCTGGAATCCTCCACTCCCTCTGCGCGCTATGCGAGGTACTAGGAGTCACTATCATGGGCCGGAGAAAAAGGGGTACGTCCCCTGGTTCAATCTTGGTACTTCACAACGCAAGCAGAGACAAGGCCATCTGGCACAGAAAAAAAGAGAAAAAAAGAGAGAAAAAGAGAAAAAATAAAAAAATGTCAACAGTAAGAAAAAATAAAATGAAAATAAAATGAAAAGGAGCGAGGACACAAAGGGACCAGGCCGAAATAACAAGAAATAAGAGGCAGAAACAGGGTCGTGATCAGGTAATGACCGTCATAACCGATTCATGATCGGGTCATGACCGAGTGATGGTCGGGTCATGATTCAGTCACAATCAAAAACCCAATGATGTCAAAACCCCGCTGGCTGCTGCCATACGTATCTTATATCAAGTCCATCTCGCCCGTGGATCGAGAGCAGGAAACAATACCTTTTGGATCACTTTTGGGCGTAAGGCCAGCATCATGGATCACATCCTCCACGTTTTCAGCGGCGGGTTTATCCCCCAAAATCTCTGCAGGAAGAGTGCGCCATGCCACCACCGTTGCCACACCCAGGGAAAGAGCGGATGAATAGAAAACAAACCGGTGGTCGACCCAATCAGGGTTGTCAGAAGAAATTGACCACGCGAACAAGACCCCGGAGCCAACGGCACTCGCGAACCGACCGAAGCTCTCAGCTGTGCCGTATAGCCCGCTGAGCTTGCCCCGCAATCTGGAGGGTACGATGCTAGTCGACGCCACTGCCAACGCGATGCCCACCTTTGTTCGAGAGGTCACGAGCGGGAAACGTTATGAGTGTTCGTACGGTAGTGAGCCAAGGCAAGCACGAAATGGAAGTTGCCCCAGTGGAGATAGGAGGGAGCGCGCACGGCAATATTAAGGCGGGCAACATCATACCCATCAAGACGTAGATTCTGCTTCCTCGATTCGTCGCGTGGCGTCGTATGTACCATGGTGTGCAGCAAGGGAGAGGCTTTCAGTGACGCAACAGAGTTTTTCGTCGCGTTTGAATGGCCCATTTCCATGCGTTTCTCTTCGGGGACTCACCGCTGCCAAGCAGCAGTTGGCGACAGTCACACTCGCAACCAACGCTGCGAACAGCGTGGTGTGGTTCCAGCTGAAGAGCTTGGCATTCGGGGTAGCAAGGAAGGTGCAGATGCCTAGAAGACAGCCTGTACGCATCCACGTCACCGCTCCAAGAATCTTGATCACCGACGGAAATATGAACACCTGAGCCACGACCATAATACAGCCCGACAAGAACAGAACCTGTTCGGACGGAAGCGCAAGAACGATCGCGCATTCATTCATTATCTGGCATGATGGTGAATACTAACGTGAATATGGAAACCCCGGGAGCACCCAAGTCGGAATCGATGTTCAGCAAGCCGGGAAATACAATACAGTCGTGGCTCCGATTTCAGGGGGTGGTGTGACAAAGTCCCTCGACCCTCTTACATCGAAGCCCCGTCTCATATGGCACCCTCTGATATAGGAGCCACGACTGTTGTACTGAGGTGCCGTCAACCCGTCGATTATCCGTTTTCAGGCAAAAAAAAAACATCTTCTCGTCGTCTCCACACCTTGCCGATCTCCATGGTGCCCCAGTCCAGCCCCCCAACACCCACGGTGGAGAGCGCCCAAAGAGGAAACACCTCTTCAAAGCCCGCTAGGAGGCTCTATCGCATCTCGGTCCGTCGGGTTGAAGGCGTCACGGGGGGGGTTGGCGGACAGGCCGTCAGTTCAGTGAATGGCATCGGTGCGCGTTGGTGCAGGGCCCAAACGGTTTCGGTTCGACGTCCGCCAAGAAATAAGAATGTACAGACGCCGAGACATCTCAGGGAGCAGTCTATTCTCAGCATGGCGGAGCGTTTCGTTGCAGCTCGTTCGTGCAGATATACCCGCGTCGTGAAAACTCGTGAATTATGCCAAATGAAAACCCGTATTCCACTCAGCCCGGTGAATTTATGTGTTGTTTTTTTCGAGTTGGGACGTGTCATATGTGATGCATGTCGAGGGGTTTCAAGCATTCCCGTTCCCATGCAACCCCCCACGTCAAACTTAAATCGAAATATCTTCGGAAACGCACCTTTAAGGATTCGATGTTTCTCTGATCGGCGGGTGACCTTAATGGTACTCTGGTGGCATGGAATGTCGATGAAGATCGTCCTGCGACCCCAATCTGTCCCCCCTCAGCCCAAACCAAACCGACAAACAACGCATTGTGGCTCCCACCTCGTCTGCTTCTTGCAGAACGTTCAGGAGATGGAAAGCATCCCTCTGAACAATATGGGGTACACCGGGACCTGATCTGAGTGACAGATTCGATTCAGATCCCCGTATAGCTTAGCCCGTCCAAGAATTATCCGGATACTTCCACGCAAGCCCAACAGCCAACATAAAGCATTAATGATCAACTAGTTCGCTCATTCCACAGTACTTTGAGGGGGCTGCAGCGGATGAATTCGTGCCGAATATGTTCGCCTTCTGTTGTCTCCCCGATTTTACATGCGAGAGAACCATATCCGACTCCCCACCAAATCGGCAGCCCGCGCGTCTCACCTGCACAACGCACACGAGAAACAAGAGGGGCTTAACCCTCGGCACGGACAACAAGCCGCCAGGGCCGCAGAGCCCCTGCTCTTCTCGATTGCTGGTGACGGGTGGTTCACGGGCATGGAGGCCACCTTCCTTGTGCTTCGCTCGGCCTCCGGAGTCATTCACGCCGCGGGTCTCCTGTGCTTCTTGCTGAGCAGAGACGTCCCCGTCCTCCAGGGACCTGTAGGCTAACTTCCCGCCTTGTGGGGGATGTCGGGCAACCGCTCGATGCCGCGCGGGGGAGCTCTCGGCGGAGCTTTCGGCGGAATGGCCGGTCGTGTCCTCGCTGCTACTCTCGCTGAAGGATGGACACACAACGCAGGGTAGGAATGCGCCGGGACCAAGGTTGTTGAGTTGTGAATAGCGCCCATGCCTTTGGAGAGTCGTGCGTGACCCGTGGAGTACACGCGCCTGAAAAGTTACCCTAAACATGCGCGACGTTCTCTGCTTTCTCGCGACTTTGCTCTGTCCAAACGTCTGCCTAGCGCTCGATGTCCCAACCAAGCCTCTCACTTCAGTAAGACAGAACCACGAGAAACCTGGCGATGCGTGTCCACAACAGCATCCAATGAACGGCACGCACGTCCCCGGCTAAGCAAATCCTGTTGCACAGCCACCTGCCCTTTGAAGCACAGGCCGGCGTATATTTTCACCTACGAAATCTCGATCTTGAACGGGTCTTCTCGAAATCCTTAGTTTCGGGAACGTAGGCAATCACTGTCGGCAGGAGTAGGAGCGCCACACCCATCCCGACGAGGTTCGGAAGCAGGAACGGAAACCTGGATGGGATGTGCGAGTGGGGCGACCAACCGAAAAACACGTGTAGCCGGGGCTTCGTGTGAAGACAAGGGAAAACTCAACTTGACATCCCGATGAACCACACGGAATGGGAGAGCATCTGAAAAACCAAGAGCCAGCTTGCTAAGTGAGTATCCAGCATCGGATCAGGATGATAGCCTCGCGTTTGTTCCGCTACTGAAACACACCGTTGGGCCTCGACTATCTTAGTTGCCACGCCGCGTCGAATTCCTCGCTCCTCGGCGCTTTCAAGGTTTCTGCGCGCAAGCGGTTTGGTGTACCAATACGTGCCATTTACCACGAAGGATGCTTATGGAGACCTTCATCACTCGACAACCCCGGACGAGAAACTGGGTTCGGACAATGTGACCAACTGGTTTAGCAAGTGGCACACAGAGCGTCGTCAGGCGACAGCAACCCCCTCTTCCTCCAGAACGTTCGCTCCTATAAAATGTACCACAGATAGGTATGAGATCGGGCATGTCGGTACATACACGATGGGATTGCGTGAAAAACCACTCACCTCCCGAACAGACCCGTGGCAGAAAACACGCTCGGGTAGTGATCAACCGGCTGCACCAGGAGTCCCCCCATAGCCGAGCCGAAGACTATAGTACTAGCTCTGGCACCTGATGTAAGAAGCAGCGGGGGGAGGGTGCAAGACCTTGAGGAAGAGAATTTCCGCGACCTTTCCGCAGCCTGTACAAAGTCAACACCCTACTAGAGTCGTTGCGAGGGCCGCGACGCCCCTACGCGTTAACCGAAGAGAGCGTGAATCCTTGCCCCACTACGTTTCGACATCAGCCACAAGTTGAGGGCCCATCGACGCGCCCCCTCGCTCAGGTTTTTCTGGGCACCCCTCACCGTCGATGTAGGCCATCGCTTGCACCACGTGCGAATTTGTTCCGCACACTTCGTACACGGTGGTCCTGACCGCGGGCGTGATGCCGTTCATGATCCCGAGGACGAACCTGGGAGCGCCAACCGCAGGCAAATGACAACGTTTCTTGGAATACGCGCTCAATTGCGGCACGGTTGGAAATCGCCCCAAATACAAGCAGCGCGTGTCACCCAATGCGGAATCCTGCCATAGTTTGGAGACGCCCTGAGATGAACACGAAGAACCGCGATGAGCAGCGCAGTTTTCTTCAGATTGCCACGAAAAGCGCTATTCTTCCTACTCAATGACCAGTCCAGTGCGGGTTGTTGGTTGCTTTGAGAGATCTGTTCGCTGTTGATTACAAGGAAACGGAAGCAGCAGCAGAAAACCTCCAAGGACGACATCTTCCTATGATATTCTCCAACCCACCGCGGACAAACGTTTTCCCAGGCTTTTGGGCTGCCCGGCTGCTCAGAAGCAACGGGCACTGATGACTGTTTCGGCGCACACAGGTCATACGCGCGCCGCCACCGTGCACCTTCCACAACTACTGCCAGGTCCCCACCGTGGCCGCAACCCACCTGGACGAAATGGCGACCTCGTAGGTGGTGGACAGACCGAATGTCAGCGACAGCACCGCAGTAGCCGATAGCCCGACGAGAATCACGGGTCTCCTCCCTACGGAATCGGAAACGTACCCCCACAAGTATCCGCTCAGAAAACGTCCAAGCGTGAAAGCGCCGGCCACGTAGCCGGCATAGAATCCTGTGTGGGGAATCACCATCGTGGAGTTTGGAAGCAGAAGATCAATACCGACTGCAGCGAAAATTCAAGCAACACCTCCGCGGGGGAGATCGCAGCGCCCGCAAGGCGTGAAACGGTGCACAGGGTCCTCAAATAGCTGTCGCGACTCATGAAAGCATGTATGAGGAATTAGTTCGGCACCGGCCATTCCTCTTGGACGAATAAAGAAGGCGATGTTAAGGTTTAAAAAGGCTCACAGGACAGAGGCCGGGCACTGTCTTGCACTCGTAGGGGGTGGGCCACTTCTCCCTAGTTTGTTTGAGATGGACGCCAGGCCAACAACGAAGAGCTCAATACTCACAATTACGTTAACATTGACCGGAGATTCGACATGCCGCAAGAAGGAGGGCCTCCCCAGCTCTGCAAGAAGCAGGCGCTGGCGGTGCGGAAGTAAGTGTGTTTTAATATTGCAGTAGTATTGGACGGGGCTTCAATTTGGTGGAGGACAGGCAACGTTTGGGCACAAATCGACCGAGATCGGAGCAACTTGGTGTCGGCAGCACCTGCTGCATGCTCGTGTTTCGTGCTTGAGAGTGCCGGTCACCGACACAGCCAACCGTCAACGCAGAAGACACCAATCAAGCTGACATTTGCGGAGGGCTTCCAAAGTAGTACAAGACGGCCGATGGGGTGATTTCTCGCGTCTCGGGCGTTCGGCTAAAAAAAGTGCGTGGTTCAGACCTTCGGACTGAAGGTGATCATTCATTCAGTCAATCATTCACGTTGTATTTTTCCGTTCTGTGAGACCTCCAGAGACCGTATCGGTCTCTTAGAGGAATGACTCCACTTGATGTGTGTCCACAGCAAGTGCGTTGTTAATAATTGGCCATAGCACGGACGTTCGCCTCGCTCGGCGGAATGTTCAGGCCTTGCGCATTTCTTGTGATCGTGTCTTTTAGCTGCAGTATGGTCCTCTCGTACATCATACATTAGACAGCAGTAGAAGGCATATATACACTACAAGCGGATCTGAGTACATTATCTTTTACATACATATCCACGCCGGAGCTGCATGTATGTCCGGCAGCACGAAGTATCGATAGAGCGATTTGTTCTAGTACAAAGTGCAGAAGGACTATACGACTCTATTGTAGAGTCTTCCTGTTGGGTATCGCAAATGCAAGGGAGGCCACCGGCAGTCCAGTGCATGCATCAGCACCAACCGCAGCGGCAATGTGGACAAAGGGTGCCGTGTGCTGTGTGCATGGGTTTGATGTAACTTTTGAACGGTTTCATCGACGGAGAGACAAAACAAGCTTGCCGGTGCAACATCCCTTGTCAAGGACAACAGATTGTGACAGATTTATGTTTACATATACTGTACGTATCGATATCCCTTGCCAAACAATAGATTTTGAACGTTCTTCCTCGACATCCCTTGTCAAGGCAAGTCAAGGACAAAAAATATTTTCAAAGGTTCTGCCGATATCCTTGTCATCCGCAACAGATTTGCGACGGTTTCTCTACCGATATAAGTTGGACGTAACAACAGACTGTCAACGGTAATATCGATGTCCGTTGTCGAAGGCGGCATTGGATTCATGCAAATGTTGTCGTTCTACACATGTATCTACATATGACGTCTTACCGTAGGTGACGTAAGATACCACTCCCCCTGTACGATTATTATGTATGAAAGCCCGAACGCTCCACGTTGAAGAGGCTACATACACCCAGCAAGACATTGTAGGAAAGCTCTCGACGAGACGGCTCCAAGATCAACAATATCGGCACCGCCACTCTTTGTGGTGTTGGTCCAGGGGGTGTGGTATCTTGTGTCACCTACGGTACTGTCTGCTGTGATGTGTATGTGTGTGCACACACACCACAACGAACGGTCGTTCGTTCCAGGATTATTTGTTGTTGTTGGTTATCGACTGCCACCCGCCACCGCAAAACAGCAACGCAGATAGATTATTGCAAGGTATTGAGTCGGCTACCCCGCGGCTCATTACCCCGCCCTATCTACAGCATCACACAGCAGTAGTGCTGGTAGAACATACGTAGGTGGGTCTATTGTCCAGTGTGTGTAGACCATTGCGTGCGGTAATTACCGGTGCACGGCGATGACACGAGTCACTGGTAAGAGTGAGATGCATACCAATAATTCTGTCAATTACCGGACAAGCATGGATCACCATCATGGATGAGGAGGGTTACTTGTTTTGTTCTTTCCTGATATCCAGCCCCGAGGAACGTTGTTGATGATCACCATGGGACGAGGAGGATAAGATGAAAGTTGTTGAATACATGTCCTTTCCGCGCTGATACCTAGACCCGAGGAACCGCTCTACGCTCTACGTACAGGCCACATACGTATACACATATATATGGTATGCATATGGCTCTGCCTGTGTCTGTGGGTTTAATGCGTTGCAAATGCACACGATTACATACCAAAATTGTTTGCCTCGGAAGAGACCTGAACGTCCAGAAACACAGCAATAAATATCGCCCCGGTATCGAAGACAGACGCGGGGAGAGCGGGGGGGGCAGATGAAGCCAACCAGGTCATTAGCTCACCGGATTTGTTGGTTGACTCCAGGTCCAACAGCTCCTTCGCCATTGTCCCCACGTACGGGATTAGGCTTATGAATGTGTAGGAGTGTATCGACATACAGAGCGCCAGCACAATGATGGCGCGAATGGGAAAGGTCGAGACATTTCCGCTGACTGGCCCATAGGGAGCACTGGGAGTAGCTTCCATCCTCCCGTGTTAGGAATACTGTTCAGGTGGCCTTCTTGTCCAACCCTGTCCTGCTGCTATGCCAGATGGGGAAGAGATACTGCGGAAGAAGGGGACACTGATGGGGAAGAGATAATGCGGAAGAAGGGGACACTGCTGTTCACGCATTGTCACTGCTGTCACAGCAGCAGGTGCGGGATGCATGTACATGCTCTGGATCTTTTGAACGGGTAGACTACTGCTGTGTCATTCTGTCTGTATTTGTGTATCATTGCGTGCACTTGCTCGGAAATTACTATTATTTCTCTTGCACTTTTTTAGCCGAATTATAGTAGAGAGAGATCGGAACGGTTTTTAATGTGAAGACAACAACAACAACAACAACAACAACAATTTGGCTCTGGTTTTCGGATACGATGGTTGGGAGTGCATTGCACACACGTGAAATTGCTGAATTTTGCCTACGTGCAGGCCAGAAGACCTAAAGTAGAGGGGCGGAAAAACAAAAACGAAGAGGTCACATCAGTCCCAGCAAACACAACAACAGGGCTGATGCACAGCCTCGCAGTCGGCCTGGTTTTGCACCCTGCTTCTACTCCTCCAGCTCTCGCTCTGTGTCTGTCTGTATCTGCTTGTCGGTCTCAGTCTGGCTCTCTCTATCTGTCTGTCTCTCTGTGGCCTGTGATTCTTGTGACACCATATGCATAGCTTCGTTGAGCGGCGGGCGGGGAAAAAAAACAAATCGTGACCGTGACAAAAAAAACATACGGGCCTTTCTTGTGGCATATTTAGAAACGCAAGATTACGTCGACCCAGCCAAAAGCATTCACCGGTGTGGTGGTCGCGCGTGGAACTTGTCTCATGGCGAGATTGGTTCGGATCCGTCGATGCCCTCGTGTTTTGTCTCCCCGACAATAAATCAGGGCGGCATCAACTCCCATCGGGCTGTGGACGGACGGACGCTCCACGTGGCGTTTAAAAACCCAACAAACAATTAATTTAAGTCAAAACACCTTACATAGTCTACATATTCTTGTCCCGATCTTTTCTGATGCCACACCCAATAGGGGGTTGCTTCTGGATGATGATGATCTTTTCCAATGCTTGTGTAACGAAATCGACGTTCCTCCGCACATACGATCAGTTCAAGGCGAAGTAGCAGGCAACCCCCCACAGGATAACAATGACGCTACGTAGCATGGTGTCTGAGACGATTGAGGCTCATCCTTGTATCGAGGCGGTTAGGGTTTCCCGAGGCGACGCAACTACGCGGGTAGATTTTCTTCTATTTCGTCAGTGCTCCCGTGGTTGACAGAGTGCTATGGGCAACACGACGATCCTTCCAGTTGTCCATTGGAGATTAAACTTACTTGACGTGCAATTCAGCCGCGAGGCGTGCTGGCGTCCCCCCGCGGTGGTCGCATAATAAAAACACACACAGAAAGACTACCCATATGATGCAACTGCAGTATTTTTGCCGATGTACGAAACCCGCGGAAAAACAAAACCCGCCTGGCAAAAGAGTGAACCATTTTCTTTTATGATGACTGCAATTATCGTCATTTTATTATTTCTTGCTCCTTTTTCCAGTCTCTGGGTACCTCGTAGTATGCGGGCCCTTCGCGTCCATTTTTTTCGTATACCTTTTTAGGGTAAGCTAGAACTGAAGCACTCTCTGTCGGGAAAAGCTCCAGCTTTGTGAAACGGAAGAACGTGCGCCAACATCTACTACCCGACAATGCTCGCCTGACGCATCACCATTTGGCCACGCTGCTGCAAGGGTTTCTCAGCACACACATACCGCGCAATCCGCACCCGCTCGGCGTTATGTGTGCTCTTCGTCGTCCTTTCTTGGGGTAAACGACCCAGCCTGGAGCTCATTGTGCTGACGACCGCTTCTTTTGCCCACAACGGGAATAAATAAATAAATAAATAGGTGCCCTCTGCCCGTACCCATCCAAACATCAAGCACCTTCCTTGTCACGGCAGAGTGCAGCGACAAGCGCCACGCACGCACGCACACACGCACGCACACGCACACGCACACATCATTTTGAAGGGCGAGACTAGCTCATACCCCACCCCAACCGTTCCGATAGCAAACGACAACGGTTGCCAATGGATCGCAAGGAGGACGGTTCGGAGGAGGAGGAGGTACACATCAACTTGCGAAAGAGCGAGAGTTGCCATTGGTAGAGATAATGGTGGAGAAGAAAGCGAGGGCTCCCATCCCTTAGATCTTCCAGGGCAATGTTGGTAGACCGAGTTTGTTAAAGAGTTAGTTCCTGGGAAGACCGTGGTGCAGCTAGTAGCAATCTCCCAACGCTGAGCGAAGTCGACCATGAGGTAAATCAGTACAGCGCGATGATGCTGACATGGGAGAACGACATGATGGAGCTGCAACGCCGCCTGACAAGATTGAGTCTTCTCCTTGTACTTCAGAAGCAGGGCACTGCTAATGTCGTCCAACTCCTCCGCCCCCCCGAACCCTCACTTAACCTCTTTTCATTGGTCACCCGATTAATTTGCACGGTCGATGCTAATCAAGAACACACGCGCTTGTGTGAGGAAGGAGAACGAGCGGCTGCTGCAGCCACAGCCGCTGTAGCAGTCCTCGCTGACGATGGGCACCTCTGTGTGTGCCCGCCAGTTCAGATCGCTCTTTGTGTGTGTGCATGTGTTGTGGCCTCTCCTCGGGTTTTGCCGAAGGCACGTCGCCTGAATCACGGCGGGCATTGTGCCGAAAAACAAACCCATGCGCTGGTGCCACATGTTATGCCTCCAATAGAACCCGGCTGTGTCAAATCCTCAGGTAAACCTGCGCATGCGTACGGAGGTGGGGGGTTACACGTATCCCCAGAGACTGCGCAGCAGCAGATTTAGTCTGGAGCCTCCTCATCAAGGAGAACAAACACAATAAAATATTCTGGCCGGTTACAACCGCCCGGGGGGCACGTTTGGATTTAGAGACACTCGGAGTCGCCGGAGAAATGCGACAAATGCAGGGGCTAGGGAGATGATAGTTTATGTTGACCGGCGAACATCACACCAGGCAGGCGAGAAGGAGGGAGAGACCATACTCATATTTCACGAAGGGTGCTTCCTTGCGATCTGCCGTGCAAAGAGACTTGTTGGCAGAGTACCCAACTACACGTGAAAAAGAATCATGTTGTTATACACGTATATACGCTGCCGTGACCCCTACCATCGGATGTTGTCGGGGGGTGTGTAGCACCGCAAGGGCTTTTTTTCGGCATAGTATTGCGGAAAAATCGTCAATCGAAACGTACGGGGTGGTTTTCGGTAGGCTACGTGGCGAAAATCGAGACACACTCGACCGCACACCTGGGTGAGAAAGAAAAGCGACTACAGCAGCACTGGCTGCAAACTAGTCTTCCCCTGTTGATCATTCTAGACAAGATCGGTGGGTGCCCATTGCTCCAAGTATCACGCCTCCGAGGCTCACCGGTCTAGAACCATCTTTAGTCTTCTTGTCCGGGCGGCTCATTGAGCCAGACGGCATCCCTCGCCCGTGCCACCCTCTTGCTCTCATTTTTGTATTTTTCGAAGCGCCGCGCTTCGGATTGACCGTCGAGCGCATGGCATTCACATAGCAACCGCATCCGCACACGATAGGCCTCCCGTTCTGTAAGGACTTCAACATTGCGCCAGGTGCAGTGCCGCGGGATTGAAGAGACATGGAAGGGGTGAGACAAGATGTGTGGAGCAGGACAGAGAGGGGTGTGGCAGACGGGAAACGCAACCTTGATGTTGCTCTTGCCTGCTCTGGCAGATGCGGCACAAGTCGGAACAGAATGCCAACTCTTTGAAACTCCAGCTGGAGTGAGATGTAAGGGGGCGAAGACAAAATCAAGCTCCTGACGGCTGCATAGAGCACAGCACACACCAACGTTCCCCCGTGTTTTTTCCGCTCTGCATCTCAGCGACTAATGCTCCAACCCCAGCACGTTCGTTCGCATAATATGCTCCATAACGCGATATTAGCGGTTAATTACTCCCCGCGAGAGAAAAATTGGATGAGAATGTGCGCTGCTGTCGAAGATAAGTCGAATAACGATCGATCGTGGTTTGAAAACATCGTTCTCTGTCATCCGAGCTTGAATCTCTCTTGCACTACGGAAGCGGTAACAAGCTCGTGAGGCCTTTCGCGTTAGCAATTGAAGGCAGGGATACATAAGACGTAGTCGAAAAACAACCAAGGATGTATAGCTTCCTGCAGTGACCTCCTCCTGTGTGATCCCGCCTGATAATTCGAACTGAGATTGAACATATATATCGTACAACAAGGGTGCATAGGACAGGGACGCGATTGTCCTCCCTTCAAAACCCTTGCTGCTACAATCTCCTCGTAGCTCGATACAGACCGAATATGTATCCCCGCACTTGCCGCGAGAAAAAATACATGGCGGTATGTAGAGGTTCAACTATTCAGGGGACGTGGACCACAACGCGCAAATGCATGTGCAGAGTATTCCTTTTACAAACCGGGAAAGTGGGGAACGATGAACGTTCTTCGGGAACCTTTTTGGTTCTTCGGGAACCTTTCTTTGGTCAACATGTGTTGTGCTTCTGGTGTGATATGAGTGTCGTGTGTAACAGACGCGAAATCCCGTGGGACTGCAATGCTGACAATATGGCGCTGCTCGAGGTCTCGGCGCCGGCGCGGTAACTGCTACGGGCGGCACCATCAACCTAGGATAAACAACCATCAAGGTACTGCACGGTGTACCTGTCAGATGGATCGTGTTCTCCAAGATTGGTGTGTAAAATGCTCGAGGCGCCCCCCCCTCGTGTTCCCATCCCCCGTGTTCCCGCCAAGCTCGGTACACTACCCCAACCTCACAGCGCCAACCTCAGTGAGCACGAAATACTAGCGCACCCCCCCCCGCGCGCCTTCCACCTTCCCCGGATTCGTTCCCACCTGAACCAGCCGCTCCAGATAGTGGGTGTCCGACGTGTCCGAAACACAGATCATCGACGCAGAGCCAACTATAGCTCTGGCAGCACCCATGGATCTTTCGTCAGTCGCTACGCGGAACACCAGTTGGTTTCGGTCTGGAAGCTTGCTGTGCTGTGCGAAGTGTTTGAAGCGGAGAATGGAGGGTATGGGATGGATGTCCCATACCGAAAAGCGCTATCGCAAGGGAGTAGTCGTGAACCAAAATTATTGACAGACTACCGGACTGAGCAGGGGTAAACGAAAAACAATTTCCTGGACCCACACTCCACTTTCTTCATTTTGGGCCGGCCGGAGACGGGGGGGGAGGGTCGGG